CAGCTGAAGGGAGTTTTGGGGTCTCGGCATGCAGAGCACATGAATCTGGGAACTCAGATGGTACAGAGGTCACAGATGTTGGGACCTCCACCCATCCAGAAGGTCGCGACATAGGAGCTCTGAGCTGCAACATATGTAAAGGGACCGAAGGTTTGGGCAGCAAAGAGGGTAAGGAACTAGAGGTGGACAGCACCGGAAGGGTTCCCGCAATAGGAGTAGGCAGGGGAGCAGCCTTACTATAAGAAACATCTTGTAAGGTCTGGCAATGTTGAGGGAGCATCGGAGAGGTGGTGGCCTCAGCCACGGGTACAGTGCGAGATGGGCGGACAGAACAAGACTTAATTAGATGACCTTCAGCCCCACAGTAAAGGCATAGACCAAATCTTAAGCGACACAATCGCTCTTGTGGAGTAAGGCCTAACTGCATGGGCTCTTCAGACGTTGGTACAGTTGCAGAGGAAAGTTGATCAGGGACTTTTTGGAAAACAGGAGCAAAAGAACCCACTGGAGGGCAAAGTGGATGAGCCCTTTCCAGATCTTGCTCCTGGAAGCGGATATCGATCTGGATGCTAAGAGCAATCAAGTCATCCAGGGAGGTGAGTATGGTTCTTCCAGCTAGTTCGTCCTTAATACGGTCTGCTAGACCCTGCCAAAAGATTGCAGAGAGGGCCTCATTATTCCATGCCAGTTCCGAGGCTAAGGTGCGAAACAGAACTGCATATTGTCCAACAGTCCTGCTACCTTGACGAAGCTGAAAAAGAGCTCCTGCGGCAGATGAAGTCCTGCTGAGCACATCGAATGTCTTAAGGAAAGCTTGCAGGAAGGCTGCAAATAGTTGAATCTTGTCGCTCCCACAGTGGCGAGGCCCAAGCCAGTGCTTCACCAGATAGGAGGGAAATCATATACGCCACCTTGGAATGATCAGTAGAAAAATGGTGGGCTGCTAGCTCGAAGTGAATTGAGCACTGATTGATGAAGCCCCGACAAGCCTTGGGATCACAAGCTGGAGTCTCGAAGGACAGTATTCCACTGGAGGAACAGCGGAAGGTGGAGCAGCCGGATCCGAAACAGAGGGTGAGGAAGTGGACACAACCTGTAGCTGATCCAACCAGGAGGAGAGTTCCTGCAGACGGTGCATGATTTGTTCTTGGAAGGCCTGCTGGACCTCGACTCTCAGCACCAAAGCCTGAAGTTGTTCCAGGACAGGCTGTGGTGTCTCCAAAGAGCTCATGGCCTGAGCAAACTGTCAACGCCTATGGTAGTGAACTCTATAGATCCACAGCTTGGGGTTCCCCGGGGCGCGGAATCTTAGCCCCAGCCTGCTTGTTTACCAGGGCCCCTGATGGTGGGGATGGACTTGCAGCAGGCTGGGACCAGGTCACGGCCCCCAGGCACACCCAGCTGAGGTGGAGGAGACCTCTAGCGGGAGCAGGGTGCAAGGGAGAAGACACAGGGAATCCAATGGGCAAGCCGAGGTCAGAACAGGCGGAAAACTAGCAAGGTCAGGAACGAAGCCGGGGTCGGTACACAGATAGACAATACAGGGTACACAGGAACCACATGGGAGCTCCAACAACACGAAGTTGCTCAGGCAAAGTGGGACAGACTGAGCGTGTCTTAAATAGACAAGCCAGCTAGGAGGAGACCCAGGAAGTGATGAAAGAAAAGGACATAAAACCCAGAGGATAGCAGACAACGCCCACGGGTGAGCACAGACAAACACACGTGAAGGAATCGAGAACAGCAAGGAGGTAAGAGCACATAGAAAACATTTTTTGTTTTTTTTATGTGTCCTAGTTGTGTGGAAAAATGCAGACCACTGCACCTAGTGTGAACAAGCCCAAACTGTAAACGAGAAAATAGTGTCATCCGACTGGCTTTGCTGTATAGCAGAGATGTTTAATCTCAGAAATAATAAATACGAATCTTTTGACCGTTAAAACAACTCGTTTATATTTTTTTTTGTGTGTGTTTAGATGTTCCAGTACAATGCATATGTAAGGTATCTTTCAGACGGGAGGTCAGGGGTGGTAAAAATGGGTGGCTGAGTCATGGTTTTACTGCCCTGTAGCAATCCAACCAAAGGGGCTGTATACTTACAGTGACCACAATGCTTCCTGGCTGGGGCATTTTTTGTTTAACCCAGGCTACATTTTTTGACAGGTGCCAGTGCCTTTCAAATTCACCCATTGAGTTCAATCGAGCTGTGCTGCAACTATGTGAGTGCGGTGCAGTAGTACATCATTATAGAGTTAAATCAAATGTCCTTGGATAAGGGATTGCTCTTCAAAGGACACTCTACTCCACCTTGAGTGTGAAAGAGACCTAAGGCAGCAAGCATTTGTTGCATGATTTAAAACACAAGAATATAACAAGCTTCTTTATGAAAATCACAAAACATTTCACTTCAGCCTTTCTCATTCTCTTCCGTCATAACTATATGGAGGCATCAATGAAACCTCTAAGTTCATAGGAACACTTTTATGTTAAATATATGAATTATTAATATTAATTCATATCAATACTTATTAATAATCTCAGGGGAAAGTAGTACAAAGAAATACAAATCTTTGCAGTATGCAGAAAAAAATATTGTGGCGATACAGTCTAAGGAAAATAAAAAGATTGCACTACAACAGAATATATACTCAGCCAAAAGAGGGACTACAGTCTGAAATATAGACAGAAAAAATTACAGACTGTCAAATAAAGGGGAGCTCTGCATTTATTTAATACCATTTAGATCTTTAATGAAATGGCAAGGTAAGACTAAGAAGTGCAGAAGGATACCTCATCATTTTATGCAAAATCTCTTGCAGAAAAAAATAGTTATAATGTCATTCCCTTGTTGAAATGTGTTCTTCAGAGCCCTTTATCACTTTACCATGGCACCCATGGTGCAGTTTCCAACAACCCCCCATAGCAGTAATTAGGTTTCAAAACATACAGGTGGTTTTTCAAAATCTTTGGGAATGCTGTAATCTATTCTCTTCAAATCTCTTAACCAGTTCACTATTAATTTTACATTCTCCCACTGAAAACAATTGACTTTGTCTACATAAAAGTGGAAACGTGACACAGTTCATTTTGCAGTGCTTGAAGGAGAAATAAAGCTTTAAAGCTTAATAAATAACACACACCATTAATTCCAATACACTTCACATCACAATGGAAACACAATTGTCAGCTTGTGAAGTAAATAATAAAACCTGTCGGTAAAAGCTTTTTAAAAAGGGTGGAATGATAAAATACCAATTTCCAGCAGTAAGTCAGCTGTAACAGAGATACATTTAAAGGGTACATGTGAGGTAAGTACTGGTATAAAAATACAGTATCTACCTTTTTAAGATGTTTCCAGGAATGTCATCACGATCCTTGCCTTCAAATTTTGCTTGATACTAATAAACACTCACATTTTTAAGAGGTGGAAAGGCTTCTTTCTTCTTGGGGATATTTGTTTATTTATATTATGTTTGGTGCATTTTTTCAGTTAAATTGCCTTTTTTTTGCAATCATCAATCCAGGTAGATCTGGGGATCTTTTTGACTTTGTTTTTTTTTTTTTTAAATTTCATTTTATTTTTGGGTTTTGGATTTATATTTGGAAATGTTAGGGCCTTTTGTCTACATGTCCCTTCTGACCGCAAATATATTGATCTAAAGTGGTTCCCAGACATACTGACACTATGCATACTTGTGTGTACCGCTATGCCAGGGGTATTGAATTAAAATTCACCAAGGTCCGGGCAGTAAAATTTGCATGTATCAGAGGTCCGAATCTCATGTAGGCCCCTGTGGTGCACTTTCGTGTGCGCCAAACCACGTGTTGCTGCAGTGCGATTTTGAAAAAAAGAGTCAGAGACTTCTTCGGGTTTCTAGCAAGCAATGCTGACCAACAAATAATGCGTACACCAAATGCACATGTAGAAATCTGAACCTGTCCTCAATCCCCACTGCACATCACAGTCCCCCCACCCCCATTCACAGCAATACCATCTTGATGAGTGTCCTCAGCTCCCCTTTTACATCACCCTCCTCCACCCCTTTCACAGTAGTGTTATCACACTTCCTTGACATCAACCCCCCCCCCCAACAGTACTGTCCTCTGCCCCCTTCACTGAAGAGTACTCTGCTCCTTTTTACATCATCCCCCCCACATTACTGTCCTCAGCCCCTCCCACTTTAATGTCCCAGGCCCCATACACCACAGTCCCCACATTACTGTCTTCGGCCCCCCTTCACACTAATGTCCTTCGCCCTTTAACTTTGCCCCCCTCCAACTGACAAACCTTACACAGACAGTGATTGATTGCTAGGACTGCCCTTAATCCTAGCAACCAAACACGTGCTTGTTAATCCTGGGCAGCTCCCACCCTCCATCCAGAACTGTCCTGCCTCCCGCTGTCAGCTTTGTGAGGATGACCATGAGACAGCTGGGGAAGAAAATGCTCTTAAATGGCATGGGTCAGGATGGGACAGTGACTCGGTGCGCATCAAACCCCTGTCCACCATTTAGTGATGCCTGCTCTATGCCCTTAGGATCCATCTGGTGGCTATTGGTTCTTTTATTGTAGCAGTGGCTCATGATGCATATTATCTTTTCTGCCACACTGAATCCTCACCTCTATGATTAAGCCCCTCGGGTGGGGTGAAACATATCAGGAGAGTAGACTAGACAGCACTAAACTAAGGCTGCTTACACCTGAGTGACTGTTTGGTTTTGCATGTAGTGTGGCAATCAGGGCTTCCTCTTTCTGACCTGAACGCTGCATCACTTCCTTTAAGTAAATAAGTAGTAAGAGGAAGTTACTCATTGGTAACAAGCATGCAGATATATAACCGCCTCCCGCCCACCATATAGTAAAATGATGGATGCAAGGCGGTTCTCTTGTTCTGGGAGGACGTCATATGACGTCCTCCCATTCTAACCATGCATGCGCGGCTCCCGGACCTCGGACACAGCGGCTCACCGATCCACGGAAAGAGCCAAAGATGTCAGCTCGGTCATGTGATCAGCTGTGTCCAATCACAGCTGATCACATGTAAACAGGGAAATGTCGGTTATCGGCATTTCTCTCCCCACGAGCTGTCGCACTAACAGCTCGTGAGGAGAGGAGAGCCGGTATTCGGCATTCATCGGAGGGGACATGTACACTGATCATCAAAGCACTGATTATCAGTGTGCCCTGATGATCTGTGTAGTCCCAGCAGCGCCACCTGTCAGTGTCCATCAGTGCCAGCTCTCTGCTCATCCATGCCACCTGCCAGTGCCCATCAGTGCCACATTTCAGTGCCCATCAGTGCCACATCAATACCACATATCAGTGCCCATCTGAGCTGCCTTTCAGTATCACCCATCAGTGCCAGTCAGTGCCACCTATCAATGCCAGTCAGTGCCACCTGTCAGTGCTGCCAATCAGTGCCACCTATCAGTTCCAGTCAGTGCTGCCTATCAGTGTGCATCAGTGCCACCTAACAGTGCCTATCAGTGCCGCCTATCAGTGCCACCTATCAGTGCTATATATGAGTGCGGCCTTTCAGTGCCCATCAGTGATACCTGTCAATGCCCATCAGTGCCACCTACCAGTGCCTCCTCATTAGTGCCCATCAGTGCCACCTATCAGTGTCCATCAGTGCAGCCTATAAGTGCCCATCACAGCAGCCTCCTTAGCATACATCAGTGAAGGAGAAAAATCACTTATTTACAAAATTTTATAACAAAAACTAAGAAAAAACGTTTTTTCAAAATTTTCAGTGGTTTTTGGTTTGTTTAAGAAAAAAATAAAAAACCCAGAGGTGATTAAATGCCACCAAAAGAAAGCTCTATCTGTCACAGTAAAATGCTAAAAATGTCATATGGGTACAGTGTCGCATGACCGCGCAATTGTCATTAAAAGTGCAACAGCGCTGAAAGCTGGAAATTGGCCTGGGCAGGAACGGGGTATAAGTGCCCTGTAGGCAAGTGGTTAAACAATCTTGGCTGCTTTGTTTTTTTCAGCTCATTGACATAGTAGGTATTGAAGCCAGGATCAGAATGACAGTGCTAAATAAAGAACTTTTACAAGCTTAGCAAATGGCATATATATTTTTATTTACAGTTTATCCACTTATAAATAGGTCCCTTAGTATTCTATGCATGTATCATGAATGTCAAAATTAAATGCTAAGCATACATAGTTTGCCAAAAGATTGGTTCTGTACTTACCATTCACGGTCCCCATTTATAGCTGTGTGTTCATACAGTATATGTAAACCCTAATTGAAGTACATATGGGAAAGCATTGGGACTATTAAATAATTTTTTAAATATAAAATGTTTGATTTCACCTTTGTTCACCTTTGTTGCAACTCTGTGTTGCTCATCTTCTGCAGCCTGTTTGCAGCTAATTAATGTCTACATGAATGCACTCCAGCAATGACTTTGTGGCTTTTCACAGGGTGGGTTTACAAAGATGTCAACCTTGGCAAAATATTTAAAGGGTGATAAAGAAGCAGCACAGTGAAAAGTAAGAGTGGCTAATTTGAATAAGGAGATGTGGCATACTACAATCCTTCCCTTGGTGGGAAGTTTATAGGCCAATCAGCCAAGGGGGAGATGACCTTCAAAAAAAAAAAAGTCCAGGGGGAAAAAAAGGAAAAAAAGAAATAAAGAATTATGTTTACCAACAAAAACAAAAAGAGTTTATCTTCAGTAATTTTTTTAGAAATGCATCCATAAATAAATAGTTTACCCAGGAGCAAAAGTATCTTTATGTGAGGGACAAAGGATATAAAATCTTTCAAAAGAGTGCTGAATAATAATAATAGTAGGAGGAGTGCTGTCTAGACACCAAAGCACTCTAATGCCCCATATACACGTTTAGAATATCAAATGAATGATTATCTGTTATCTGTTTCCTGCATGCTAGTCTCATATCAAAAGTGCAGAGGTTACTAAAGTTACAAAAATTCTTTATGGACGGAATAAAAATTCTGAAGAATGTAATGTATTTGTATTGTAATTTTGGATGACTACTGTCCTGGTTAAACAAAAATCGTACAATCTGTTATCGTATGATAAAAATGTTCGTGCTTGTCCCTTCTATTTTTTTCAGACGATTGCTGTGTATTAACGATCAGATTCCTTTAAAAGTGGCATTTTTCATACGATATTCTGATCGTGTATACAGTGCCTAATTTGAAAACAGCATCAGCAGGGACGTACTGGGGTAGGTTAACTAAGGCTGGCCATACACTATACAATTTTCTGTCCAATTTCTGCCCAATTTTCTTTAGATTTACCTTCAACTGTGTATTTCAAGAGCCTGCCTAATTGGATACAATTGAAAGTGTTGTTTAGGTTTGACCTCCTATTATATGGTTTTTGGTAAATCTTCTAAAGAAAATTGTATAGTGTATGGCCAGCCTTATGCCTCGTACACACTATAAGAAAATCGTACGAAAATTTTCGTACGAGGACCAATCGTCCGATAATCGGATCTTCAGTACACAGCTTTCAAGAGCCGATCACGACAATTCATACGACAATATCCGAAGGGACAAGCGCAAAAATTTTTCTCATACGACACCAGATTGCACGATTTTCATTTAATCAGTACAGTAGTCATCTGAAAATACAATACAAATACAACGCAATACATGACATCACTTTCGAATTTCTTTTCTTTTATAGGAGAATTTTCGTATCTTTAGTAACCTTTTCCCTTTCGATGTGAGACTAGCAGGTGAAAAAAAACAGCCGATCATTCGTCCGATATTTTCATCATGTGTACGGGGCATTAAACTGGTGCACTCAGAATCTCATGCAGCTGTACGTGGTAGCCAATCAGCATTCAACCTCAGCTTGTTCAATTAAGCTTTACCAATAAAACCTGGAAGCTGATTGGTTTCTATGCAGAAGTGAACCTGTCCAAACTGCAGTTTAACCATTTCAATACCGTGCAATTTTACACCTTCCTGCCCAGGCCATTTTTCAGGTTTCAGCGCTCTCACACTTTGAATGACAATTGCGCAGTCATACAACACTGTACCCAAACTAAAATTTTATCATTTTCTTCACACAACTAGAGCTTTCTTTTGGTGGTATTTAATCACCGCTGGGATTTTTATTTTTTGCTATATTAACAAAAAAAGACCAAAAATTTTTGAAAAAAAAAACACATTTTTCTTTGTTTCTGTTATAAAAGTTTACAAATAAATAATTGTTCTTCATAAATTTAGGCCGAGATGTATTCTGCTACATGTCTTTGGTGAAAATAACCCAAATTAGGATGTATTATTTAGTTTGTAGGAAAGTTATAGAGTTCACAAACTATGGTATATATCTGAAAATTGATCAATCCTGAAGTACTGACAGCCAATCTAATTTCTTGAGGTCCAAGAATGTCAGAATAGTACAGATATCCCCCAAATGACCCCTTTTTGCAGAGTAGACAGTCCAACGTACTTCATAAGAGGCATGGCGAGTTTTTTGAAGTTGTATTTTTTTTGTCATAATTTTTCGGAAAATGAAAAAATTAAAAAAATTATTTTCACTATTTTTTTTTTTACATACTGTCACCAGTGCAGTACAGCGTCATCATATAACTGGCATGGCGGTGAACAGGGACACTGACTGGTGACAGTATGAAAAAAAAAAAATATATATATATATATATATTTTTTTTTTTTTATTATTTTGAATTATTTATTACATTTTTTTTATTTTTTTAAGATTTTTTTTTTTCATATTTTACTATGACCAAAGTAGTACAATGTTACCATAGTAACATTGTACTACTTTGGGGAAGTGATCAGTATTTTTTTTTTTTACACAATTTGCTTATAGCAAAGAATTACTTTGCTATAAGCAAGCATTTACCTGAATGAAATCAATTCATTCAGCTTCTTTTTTTTTTTGTGCTTAGCTGTGATTTGGTCACAGCTAATCACATGACATGTGCATGTGATTAGCTGTGACCATTCACAGCTAGGCACTAGTATACAATGGATGGCATGAATGAAGCCATCCATTGTATACAACTGTCATGTGACCTGCTGTGATTGGTCACAGCGGTCACATGGTACCAGCAATGGGAGCCGGTACTCGGATCTGTCATCGGCCGTGTCCGAAGGTGCACGGCCGGTGACAGATCGCGCTGCTGCGCCGCTCTGCATTAGCGCAAACTGCGCATGTGCGGGAGCACGCCAAATGGCGTGCACCCGGAATGCAGCAACACATTTGAAGCCGCCAAACGGCCATTGGCCGGGCGGCTAATGGTTAAAAACACTGCACATTTATAAAGCACAGAAATGTGCTTTAAATGTGTTCTTAGCATCCTCCCAACATTGGAAGTTTGAAGCTGGCAGAGAGTTAATAAATGAAAGGAAGATAAGTGACAAAATAGCCAGGAGGATTATTATTATTATTATTATACAGGATTTAAATAGCGCCAACAGTTTGCGCTGCGCTTGCTTTTTGTTCATTTGACCTGTCATATTGCAGAACTCCTTCTTATTTGTTAAACAGAGAGAACCCTGTGCAGTATTACATTCTCTACAATGCACTCTGCATTTTATTAATGGGTTGTAAAATGAGGGCCATGATGTGTGTAGCTGAACAGAATAAAATGGGGAGCTAATGGTTACATCCACTCCTCATTATAAAGTAGACATCCAGAATTCATTAAATATGTCACTATAAGTAAGCAGTGACTATTAATTGATCTTTTGAGTTGTACTGTGGGAAGATGCCCTTATTTCCCTCCACTGGAGCTCCATTACAGACAGAGAAGCATTCAGTTTCCTTTGGCAGTGTGGTGGTAATATAGATTTGAAATTTGTGCATATACTGTATATGTGTAAAGCGCTGAGTAAATTGACGGCTCTATACAAGTACCTGAAATAAAATAAAAGTCACAGAGGATTAGAAGGATCAGCAATCCTATTCCTCCAGATGACAGAGATTCATGGGTGTAAGGCACAGCTATCCCCAAGTCCATTCTCCGAGGCTCAGCTGTGTGTGGGCTATAGACTAATTTGCAGTCTCTGCCTAAAGTGTATCAAACATAGTTATACCATTGGTCATTTGGGTACAAGTAAGCAGAGACACATGATTTCTCATCACACAGATTGTTGGAAACAACAACTGAATGCTAGCCATTTTCAGGAAAGGGCCCGACCCTCTGCTATCCAGCTCCTCCCTTTTCACCTCTATCCTCATGATAAAAGATTCTCCATCACCAACCTCCAGTGATAGGGTACAAGTGAAAAGCTTTTTCAAAAATAAACCCATTTATGATTCCACATCCTGCTCTTCAGGCTATATCGTGCTGATTGCATAGATCTTTTGACCCTACTTAAATACACTGGCACTATACAGAATTATTTTGGATACTTGCTTTTTAAAGTAATGTGGCCTTACAGAGATTCTTTAAATAGAAA